AAAGGAAAGAGAAGAAGAGAATTTTTCTGAGTTCCCACTAAAATCCTATTTAGAGATGAAGAATCTGGGGAACCAAAAAGGTCATGTAGCTAAACATGACACAGCAGTCTCTGAACACAGGTCTAAAGCTATCTGCTGGTTTTTATTTTGGTGGTCTTAGGGATGGGAAAGATTTTTAGCACATATTATTAAGTGAAAAATCAAATTGCCAAGTAATATATACAATATGATCCCATTTGCAAAGGGAGGAAAATCTTATGTATGTGTAAATGTTTATATATGTATATAAATTCATAGAAAAAGGTCTGGAAAGCTATGTCCCAAACCATTAACGGTGGCTATCTCCAGGGAGAAGGTTCTGGAGCTGTAGAGTATGGTGGTGAAAAGAGGACACATGTCTTTCTTCCTTGATTACTTCTGCTATGCTTGACTTTTAAAGAGTGAGAATATTCATATATTACTTGCATAACTATAACAGTCAGAAGCCTTCTTACTTGGAAGAGGAGGCTAAGCTCTTTCCTAATGACTGATTTTAGCTCCTTTTTGAACATTTCTACCTTAAGCTGGTCTATCCCACCAGTGAAGGTGAGCAGTGGAGGGGTTTCTAGACACAAATGACAGAGATGGTGCTAAAGGTACCTCAAATAGTTTTTCTTCCTTGTAATTAAAACATCTTTGCTGCCAACTTTGATGCACTATTCTCATTGTCAGCTCACAAGTAAAAACGGTCCTAATTTCTTCTGGCCAATTTTAGGCAAGGTTGTTAAGGGCTGTATTACTTTCCATCTCTCCTGACAATTAGACTCCTCCCTGGGTAGTGCTAACAAGTCACTCAACCTCCATTGGGTCCGCTCTCTCCTCTATTAAGGATTGCCCTCTCACTATTATTTGGGGGGATACTTTGCCATACATGGCTGCTAGGTAACATAAGGGGTTACTTATCCTAAGTCTATTTATACTTTGAGTTGATATTTAAAACCTTAAAGTTATAGAAGGGACTCTAATAATGGCATTTTTAGCATCATCTGGTGGGTGGAAGAGAGGGGATAGAGGATGGAGAACAGAGATAGCTTTGGTGTCTTCCCAGCTATCATTAATACTCAAATCTAAATATTACTCGGTATAGGGGTGCCTGGCTGGCTCAGTTGGTTAAATGTCTGACTTCGGCTCAGGTCATGATCTCACAGCTAGTGGGTTCGAGCCCCATGTCGGGCTCTGTGCTGACAGCTCAGAGCCTGGAGCCTGCTTTGGATTCTGTGTCTCCCTCTCTCTATGTCCCTTTCCCACTCACACTCTGTCTCCCTCTCTCTCTCTCTCTCTCTAATGTTTAAATAAACATTAAAAAATTTAAAAAATATTACTCTGTATACATTTGGTCCTGGTCCATTATGCCCATGTATTCAATAAGCACTTAATGAGCACCTGCTATGTGTCAAACAGTATGCCAGCTGCTAGTTCCAGAGAGAGGTGGGTTTGGACATAGAGCTGATAGTGTGGACTTCTTTAAAATACAGTCCTCTTCAATAGGTACCTACTATTTTTTAAAGTGCCTTAAAAATGCAGGCAGTCCATGCTTGCTCGCTCTCTCTCTCTCTCTGTCTCTCTGTCTCTCTCTCTCTCTCTCTCACACACACACACACACACACACACACACACACACTGGAACAATCAGACACCTCCAGCTTGAGAGTCTCCTCCTTGCTGTGGAGAGCTGGGTGTGAGAATGCAGGGAACCTGGAGAAAGTTAGACACGCGCTTCTGATACCAGCCCTGCTATCCACACAGAGTAAGTCAGGAGAAGGTATATTTAATCTCAGAAAGATGCCCAGAGGGGACGCACCCTCTAGGCCTTTGGCATTTTCTGTGTGATAACTCTGACCACACATAAGAGGAAAAAGTGGCTCTCTGATCTGTGTATTAGGACTGATAGCTGTCTGGGAAAGCCACTTGTCCTAACTGGTGGCCACCTCTCAGACGTAAACCCTGTGACCAAGACTGGAAACGTCATTTCTGCATGTCCCATAGAAAGTGCTATGGTGCTCTGAACACACGGACATCAGCACAGACCAAGAGCCCAAAAGACAATACATAGGAACTTGGGGCCCATTAGAGGACACCCTAAAATGTGCAGGGAACACTGATCTGTACACGAAAAGAATTGTGAATTAAAGATTTAAATTATTCGACGGAACAGGTTATTGGGAAAACAGTGTACTATTATGTCCCTACCAAATCCATTTCTCTTCTATGTACACCTTACACCTAGTTTCCAAATGAGAGATTGTTTCCCCTCTGATGTCACACTGAAATAGCTCACAGGAAATGCACCTCCATACATGACTCACTTTTTTTTTTTTTTTTGCAGAATAGCCATTCTTTTTTTTTAATTTTTTTTTTTCAACGTTTATTTATTTTTGGGACAGAGAGAGACAGAGCATGAACGGGCGAGGGGCAGAGAGAGAGGGAGACACAGAACCGGAAACAGGCTCCAGGCTCTGAGCCATCAGCCCAGAGCCCGACGCGGGGCTCGAACTCACGGACCGCGAGATCGTGACCTGGCTGAAGTCGGACGCTTAACCGACTGCGCCACCCAGGCGCCCCCATGACTCACTTTTAAGATGAAAATCTGCTTTGGCTCTTTAACACGAGATGAAGAGTGGTATCAGGCCACTGTATGTCAGCCCTCTCTTGTTTTAATTAGCATCAGTCTACAAATACTCAGCTCTGGACGGTCGGCCCAAGGAACCCCTGGCTGTGCCCTGTAAGAGAGGCCTTGCCTGTCAGTCTGATAATTGGCTGGTGGGAGATTAAAGCACCGAGTTTATCTGGAGCAAATGCAATAAAGTTAAGCCTAACAAGGGTCCTTGTCTTGGAGTCAATATAAAGGTCGTAGAGTAAATTAAGCCTATCTAATTTAACTATGTTCAGTACTTTGAGGATGGGAAGTAACACCTTGTGTCTTCTTCCTTCTGCTGCCCAGGAAGGGTCGGATTTAGTGGCTGCAAATCCCACAAGATCTTTAGCTGGTCCTGGGTGCTGACTTCTCAGCATTGCCTCAGCTCATCACAGCATTTGGATATCATTACCACACTGGAATGTGGTTAGACACTTAGGCTTGTTTTTAAAGTGATGGTAAGTAAGCGGAACAGAAATGACATCAATTAGCAGCACACAGCGGTAGCGGTCCAGTGTGTCTGCCTATAGACTAATGAAGACTCGTGGGATATTTGAGAAGGATGTGGTCACCTCAGACCATCTCCTACCGCCTGTTCATTTTGCATATACGGAAACAGAAAGGGCAGACATCTTGCCCCACGTCACATGGCTGGTGGGTGACAAAGCTAGGGTGAGAACCTCTGGACCTCCTAGCCAAGGTCCTTACAGGCCGTCCAGGCCCAACCCACTCTGCTTGTTCTTGGGAGAACGCAGTCAGACGGAAGAGGTTTGTACCCCCTTGCCCATGCACTTAGGTCTGCCCAACTGGAAAACTGTGAGGTTAGGTGGGAGATGAGGGACCAGGTCAAACAGGGACAGAAAAGAGGTTTCTTGGGATTCTACGCACTAGATCTAGCCTTTTCTGGGTCTGGCCCTCGATTCTATTTTTCTGGCTGCTGTTCTCCTGGGTGGAGTGCTGCTCCAAGTAGTGGCTGACTGCTTTGCCGGTTGCCATGGAGATGGTGGTACCATAGGCCCTCCTTATTTCTGCATCGGAAGGGGGAAGCAAGCCCACCATCCAGATCGATATATGAAACACCTCGGGGCGCCTGGGTGGCTCAGTCCGTTAAGTGTCCGACTTCAGCTCAGGTCTCAATCTCGCGGTTCATGGGTTCGAGCCCCGCGTCCGGCTCTGTGCTGACAGCTCGGAGCCTGGAGCCTGCTTCGGATTCTGTGTCTCCCTCTCTCTCTGTCCCTCCCCTGCACACACTGTGTCTCTTTGTCTCTCAAGAATAAACATTAATTTTTTTAAAAAAAATTAAAAAAAGGTAACCTGAAAAAAATATATACATGGAACACTTCTGGTGACCAGCAGAAGTGTCACTATCAGCTTGTATCCTGATTTGGCCTGTGATTTGTACCCTTTAAGTTCCTAAGAAAGGCATTTTGTTGACTGAGAAATAAGACAAGCTGCCTCAGCAAATTATTGTCCATGCCTAAAGGCAACGCCCTGCTTCTTCCATGTTACTTTGCAGAAACAGAAGAGATATCGTTCAGAAACGGCATTCCCCTTCCTATGTAGGATATGACCTTATCTCATAATATTCTTCATCCCATCAGTACACTTGAAAGTCTGGCTTTGGTTCTTTAACCATCTCCCTTTGAAACCAGAATCACCGATGAGATGGCTTAGCTTCTACAGAGATTTGTTCCAGAGAAGTATCTGCAGGCAAGTCTTTCAAGACACCATAAAATTGTGTGGACTGGAGCAGTGATTGGATTGATTAACTAAGGCTCAAGGTCGGGTAAAAACGAGACCCAGGCAGGACCAAAAAATGAAATGCTCTAATTGATTTTATGCATGTGGAATGACACACATACACTCCAGAGCACGCTATAATGAATCTGCATGCTGTGTGCATGCGGATTTCACAGCAGATCAATTATACCACCCAGCCACCCTGCAGTCCACAAGCCAATCTGTTACTATGCCGTGAGGGCTTGGGATACCAGCTAAAAGTGGCCGAGACCCTGAAGACTGCGGTCCTTCAAGTTCCTTTAGGAGATAGCACGACAGCACGTGCACAGCCACAGACGCCACGGGGCTCATTTCAGTGTACGGAGCTTTCTGGACCCTGAGCATGACCATTGGGCTGGAATTCCAAAGCCCTGGTTTCAATTAAACTTAAGTGGATTTGACTAAAAGTTTGAACTGATGCTAATTGGTTTTCAAAACACTGGGTTTTGAACAAGAAGCGTTCTGGTCTTGCGCTGTGGACAGATGCACCCTACCCTGAACGCGCTCCTGGGAAGCAAGGGCAGGCGCCGCGCCCTTCGCCCCTTACCTGGCCGGGCAGGGATCCAAACTGCAAGATTTGAGGAGCCGGGGGGGTCGGCGGCTGGTCACACACAGGTTCTCATCAGCAGGCTCCCGCGTCTGTTTGTTCAGGCAGCTCACCACAGCCTCCTGGACACCTGCGTACAAATCACACTGTCAGGCCAGAGTGGGCGTGTGTGGGGTGATGAAGTGTAGACAAGGCAGCTGGTGGGAGGCCTCTGTGATTGGTAGGACTCTGGCTGCGTGTCGGAGAACGCAGCTTAAAGCCCAGGACTGCCCATCTTGTCAGGCATCGCTCGATCAGGGAGAAAGTACTCTTGAGTTTGAACCTCTGTAAATGTGACCCTTGAGGAGGGCAACTTCCCTCATGGGAGAGCTGGCCACCAGTCCCGACGAAATGCTTTAAAACAATGCCACCAAAGCCATAGAGCTGCCAAAGCGGGAGTGTGATAATTTAATGCAGAAGGAGGGCAGGGTGACAAAAAAAAAAAATGTCCCCAAGACCTTCACACGTTATATTTTAATCAACAGGCGACTGTTGTATTTGGAAGGGAGGCCAAGAGCTGCGTTTTAATAGCCAATATTCTGCAGACTGCTGTTCTCCGGGGGCCTTGCCTTGAGGACTCCAATCTTTGCTGGTTTCCTTTTGATTCTAGTTCATGTCTTTAGTGACCTGGGCGGCTTTGGAAGTTGGAACAAAAGCAAGAGAACGAGGTACACAATGACTATACCCATGAAACACAATCTTTCCTACATGCATGGGAGATACTGCTCCCACAGACACTTGCGTGTCTCTGACATGAGTTTGAGCAGTGGCTGGTACAGAGTTATTGGCAGGTCTTCTGAGGTGGTGTGCAGGACCCCTAATGGAGACCTTAATGGAGCAAGGAAACATTTAGGTGGGTATGGTAATGACCAGACATTTCATGCAGGTGCCCACGGTCATAGTAAGAGTCAAAATCCACAGGTGGGACATTACTAGTCGGGTGTCAATGCTAAGAGCTTGACATGCACCACGCAATTCTCCCAATTCCATGAGGTAAGTGCTATTTTTATCCCATTTTACAGATAAGGACACTGAGGCTTAGAAAGGCGAAGAGACTTGCTAAGGTCACGTAGTTGATAAGCAGTGAGGCAATGCCTTAGCACTGGAGCTTTTAATGACAGGACTAACATTTAAAAATACTAAAAGGCTGCTTCTATCTGCTAGAGATCTTCGGGAATAACCTAGACATTTGTCTGGGATCACTTCAGTAGAGGGCAGGGTAAGGAAGAGTCCAGATGAGACATTCTTGATACTCTGCTTTCAGTCATACATAGCTGTGTATAAAAAGATACATACAGCTTAATATATCTATGTGTAGTTAAATATTTGTATATGATTTTGGCAGAGTACGTGACAACCTATATAATTAGTTTTGTATATAAATACACAAACATTTTCTTGTTCTTATTTTCTGTCTTGCTTTATCAAAAGTACCCAATATATACAACTGCCCTAATCAGTTATTAGTCCTGCTCCTTCCCTCATGCCATCTATCCCATATTTCTCCAAGTAGTTATTACTTCAATCAACAGGCTGTTTCCTTTTTTTTTTTTTTTAAGGTTTATTTATTTTTGAGAGAGAGAGAGAGGCAGAGTGGAGTAGGGGAGGGGCAGAGGGGGAGACAGAATCCAAAGCAGGCTCCAGGCTCCGAGCTGTCAGCAAAGAGCCTGATATGGGGTTCGAAACCATGAACTGTGAGATCATGACCTGAGCCGATGTCAGACGTTTAACTGACTGAGTCACCCAGTTGCCCCCACAGGCCAAAGTTTCCTAAGGTGATGTTATACGGACTGAGGTCACTCGGAAAGACTGCCATTTAACAAGTGACATTTTGGGGTGCCTGGTGGCTCAGCTGGTTAAATGTCTGACTCTTGATTTCAGCTCAGGTCATGATCTCACGGTCATGAGACTGAGCCCTGCTTCAGGCTCTGTGCTGGTGTGGAGCCTGCTTAAGATTCTCTCTCTTTCTCTCTCTCTGACCTTCCCCAACTTGCATTCTTTCTCTCTAAAAGAAGATGACATTTTATTTATTTATTTTTTACAGTTTATTCATTTATTTTGAGAGAGACAGAGATAGCATGAGTGGGGGAGGGACAGAGAGAGAAGGAGAGAGAAAACCCTAAGCAGGCTCCCTTCTGCCAGCCTAGAGCCTGACACAGGGCTCGAACCCACGAAACTGTGAGCCACTTAACCGGCTGAGCTACCCAGGCTCCCGGAAAGTGACATTTTAAAGCCAGAATTGGAAGCACCTTTCCCAGAAGTCTGACAAATTAAACCTTTTCAAAAATCACAGTATTTACTTTGAGCACATGCATGTAAATTTTCTATTTCTTAAGCTTTTTGTGAGCTTTAAAATTTAAATATATCATGGTCAGTTCAGGCTGGAGCATTTGCAATTTCTACTAGACATTCAAGCTATCCCGCCAGATTCCATAATGCTGGCTCTAGGGTGTTGCTCTCTTTGATTGCAGCTGGGATGAGCCATTTGAAATTCATGGTATGACAATGTAGCAAAACATTTCACAAGAAACGGTTGAAATCATCACTGATACTTCCCCCTGGGAGAGTCCGGCATTAAGGTAATGATGACAAAGTGCTGGATGAAGCTAAGTCTTCTATACAGAATCAAGACCTGGGGTTATATTAGAAATTAGGCTTTCAGGGGTGCCTGGGTGGCTCAGTCGGTTAAACGTCTGACTTCGGCTCAGGTCATGATCTCGCGGTTCGTGAGTTTGAGCCCCATGTCGGGCTGTGCTGACAGCTCAGAGCCCGGCACCTGCTTCAGATTCTGTGTCTCCCTCTTTCTCTGCCCTTCCCTTGCTCACACTGTCTCTGTCTCTCAAAAATAAATAAACGTTAAAAAAAAAAGAAATTAGGCTTTCAATTCATTTGGGTACCTGTTAATATTCAAGAGATTCTAAACGTCACTCTAAAATACATTTTCGCTTTTTCCGGCTACTGAATACTTTATGAAATTGAGTCGATGACATCAGCAGGAAGTGATCCCTGGTCCTACCACTTCCCCCAGTTGGAAGGGCTTTAGGTGTGGAGCTGTGTGGATGGTGGGCTCTGTTTCTCCTTCACGAACTCCTAGTTTATACCACTGAAGTCCTTCTATCACTGCAAAGAACAAGGGTCTCAAGGGCTAACACTTCTAAAAGGACGTCAGTATTGTCCTCTTAGATATGCGTGTGGAACACAAATTTTCATTACCCCAAACCAATAAACTTTAGCTCCAGATAAGTATCACCTGGGAGGTGGTTAAGTGCTGAGATTAAGCAGCATTCCAGAGTTACCAAATTCGAATCTAACATATCATAAAACGAAACACGAGGCCTCAGCGGCACTGTGTTAAATGTCCCTAGCCATAGGGGCCATTTACTGGCATTCTTAGGTGGGGCCTTGGGTGCTGAGGGAAACTAAGGACAGAGCTCTGTCATTTTAAGAAGTATCTGGGACCAGCCCTGTGGTCAACACACAATACATTTTTGTGGTGTGATGCAGGAAATGCCTCAAGGGCAGGGCATTGTGAGCACAGTGCTGTGTAGGCCAAGGGGAGGTGGGAGAGGGCCGCCTGGGGGAAGGCACATGGAGGGAGGGAGCTGCCCTGGAATGGGGAGCGTGGGAAGTCACAGTAGGGAGGGCATGTGAAAACCTCACCTGTGAGGTCACAGCAAGCATACTTGGCCCAGCGGAGTTGGCCAGGATGTGAGAAGTTGGCTCAACAAATGCGTGCTCTTTCCTAATAGGCTAATATATGCACTTAGAAGGACATTTTGAACCAACACAGAACACATGTTTAAGCACACGACTTCACGATTCTGAGTTTTCCTTTCTTGACAGAAACAAAGGAGAGAGGACTCGTAAGGAAGGGGAGTGGCAGGTATAAGACTTCACCTTTCATTCTTGCACAAGTAAATCTCAAGTTTTCCCTCAGCTAGGTTTTAATGTTGATTTTACCGTCTAGGAGTTCAATGTAATAAAGCTGTTCAGGTTCAAAGCCACTCTCCTTGACCACACCTATTAGTTCACATGTGGGAAATTAAAATATAACAAGGAGATGATAGTGGGACGCAGGACACATATCTGAACAGGTTAGGCTAACTTTCAATCTTCCAGAAAATGGGATTTTCAGTGTTCATATCTCCCAGAAGAGCATAATTGTTACGTGATCTTTGATGACAGCTTGGGGAAACACAGCCACCAACCATAGCCTAAATTACTAACTAGTTCCTTCTGGCTGCTACCTCTGCTAGGTGAAAGGTTCCTTCTGTATCTATCCAGTGTTAGCTCTTGAGATAGGGAAGACAATAAAATACACTGACCAGCCTTAAAACCCAAAATTGATTTAAAAGTTACCTGTTAATCCTGCACATTTTTGGTAGGCTTCAGTAAGAATGATTAAAAATATATATAACCTTGTGGGTTATATTTCGGTGAAAGATCAAAGTAGCACAATGTTACTGCCAAGCACTGACTTCAAAATATACATGTCCCATATAGTGAAATGATTTTTTAGTGCATATGGGCATCATATGGACCATATAACACAACCATATTTTCACCACTTTGGAATTTTCAACTCTACCATTTTAGGTGCAAATATATTACCTTGGCACAGTTACATAAGTGTAGGTAAGCATGCACAGTTGTTGACAGTTAAAGACATAAGACATTTCAGTAACTTTACCCTGCCTTGGCTATAAAGGATGCACAATTTATGTTATACAAAGACGCTCAGTTCCTACAGGCAGAGATCAACTGTATATCAAACCCCCAAATCTTATTTCCAAATCAGTATCTTCTGAAAACATTTGAAATTAAAACCACTCCACATGCTCTCTACACTTTGAGTTTTATACCACTGGTTGATCAGCAGAATGGTTAGATAAAGGTATCTGGTTATTTATTATTCCATTACTGCATCTATTTTTTCCATCTGCTCATAAAGTTCCAGGCTTGACTTGTAACTGAGAACCAGAACTGAGAGACCATAAGTAAAAAAAAATTTTCCAAAGCAAATTCATTTTAGACTAGGGATAACGATGGTTCCTTTCAGGTGATGATGGAAATTGGGGATAAACACACCCCTTCTGAAATCTTGAGTCACTTGTTATATTGGAAAGAAGCAGTTGTGCCTATGGGTTGTGGTCTTTCCACCTGACTTCTCAGCTCCTGCCGGGGCTCAGAGATCACTGAGGCTTATTTAACACTTCTCCTTTGGTAGGCATAGAAGGAAAGATGCCCTCAATGTGTGTGGAGAAGAACACAAGGACAGAGATTAGCTGCGTTGCAGGAAATTCTTCCAGAATCAGAAGGAAGATTTTAGGTTTTAAAATAACAGGGCCCTCCATTAAGACACTTAACAATTTCAGTTTGACACTGGAAGACTTGGAAACAAACAAGAACCTCAAGGTCAACACTATTAAATGCTTGCTAAAAGATCTGATGGAGAAAATGGATTCTTTGCTAGTATGTACTTGTTCCACTAGTATTCCTTTGCAACTGCATGTGAAAATTTTGGGCACAAGTACTTGTACATTCATTCTCACTAACGATAAGACGCCTTTTTAAAAGGGTTTCCAAAATGCCATGGTTTAGAAGCCATTTTTGGAAAATAATTTTATTAAAAAAATTTTTTTTAAATGTTTATTAATTTTTGAGACAATGCGAGAGACAGAGTGCAAGCAGCAGAGGGGCAGACAGAGGGAGACAACGAATCTGAAGCAGGCTCCAGGCTCTGAGCTGTCAGCCCAGAGCCCGATGCGGGGCTCGAACTCACCAACCGTGAGATCATGACCTGAGCCAAAGTCGGACACTTAACCGACTGAGCCACTCAGGTGCCCCTGGAAAATAATTTTAATACTTTTTTATACCAGTTGAAAAACTTTGCTAGCAATACAGAACCATAAGGTGCCAAAGGGGGTTACTGCTAGCCACTGAGAGAAATTTGGCAAGAAAATTAGACAGTATTTTCCTCACTTCTCAAAATCTCTCTTGGGAGCCGACATGGGAGACAGTGGCTTTATGGATCTAATGTATGTTCTATTGTGTAAGAAAGATCATAAACTTGAAGAATTTCATTGTTGGTTTAAATGCCCTCCTCTTCCCTCCATCTATAACACCTAAAATAAAGAATCACTGAACCTGTTGTTATGGCTATGAAATATCCCTAAGAGAATCAGGTCAATATACATGGAAGCATGTAATGTTAGTTAAATGATAATCGTAAGGGGGAAAGCTTCAGGAATTCTCTAAGTGCTTAAAGCAGTGAGGTATGCTGGAAAGACTTTGGACAGGGAAATAAATAATTAGCAGGCCTAATCCCAGCTGTTACTCACTAGCTGTGTGATTGCAAGTCAACCCAGCTTCTTCGGACCTTCGTTTCCTCATCTGCAAATGGCGGTGGGGTCAGACTTTAAAGTCCTTTCCTGTTCCAGGTAAGCACACTGTTATGTGCCCTTTATACATCCTTTTCCCTTTGTAAAGAGGTACTGCTTTGGAAAATCCGCTGAGTAAAGCGAGGGGGGCGGGGGCTCTAACCTATTCTGGGGAAGAGTAGAATGTTTTGTCATCTTGGGCCTTGGTCCATACCACATGCACTAAAGCAAGGACAGAGATAAATAAAACTGAATGTTGAGAGCATTGCCAGGTTAGTGTCAACTGTGTTTCTCAGTCAGATACCCTAGGATATATTGCAAAACATCAGAACGACAACTGAAAGTAAAAGCATGAGTTGTGTTGGCCACTCCAGCCGACAGTCTGAGCGCCACTCAAGCCCAAAGAGAAATACATCTGTGTTTCATTCAGTATGCTTTCCATTTAGGATGGCTTCCTCCCCTCCTCCCCCTGCTTATCATTCCTGGACTAGAGGCAGTCATGTGACACAGTCTCCTGCAGGGAGAGAGGATAAAGAAAAAAGACAAGATGATGGTGGGGATGTGAGCCAGAGCCCCCCCTTCTTACCTCCTCCACAGGACTCGGAGCACTTGGTGAAGCCCTCATACTCCCAGTCATACAGCTCGTCGAAATCCTGCAGGCCACCGAAGAGGCCATCTGTCTCTTCTGGGTTAAACTCAGGAGCTTCCCCGTTGCATGGTCCTGCATAACAGGCACGCTGGGATGCTGGCTTGGGCCCCTCACATTCATCAACAGGCAGGTCAGCCACGGACTGGGAGAAAGACAGGAGCACCTGGCACCTCACCATTCGCACCTGGGTCCCCACACCACAGGTAACCGTGCAGGCTGACCAGGCTTCCGGGATGAACCTGCAGTCGGCAAGCAAACAAGAGGACAGCATGAAGAGCCCCAGGCAGGAGACCCTGGGGGTTGTAGAGGGCTGCATCCCACCTGCCGCCCCTGCCCAGCGCCGTTCGGGGCTCTGCTACCCTGTCCTGTGATGGGTGCTTCGGTCTAGTTCATGAACTCATTTGCCACGGGTTTCTGGATTGGTTTTTTTGTAAGTGTCATATGAACTCTCAGCTGTAAGACATTCCAGCCACAGACCACCTGCTTTCTCCCTGCTTTGCACCCACAGCGGTAGCTCTTCAGAGCAGGAATTGGTGGTTTCTTCACTCTCTCTAAATCCCAGCACTTGTGCCTTCTGAAAGATGCTGGCTATTCTTATAGTAGACTAATACGGATCCTAAAACTATCACAAAATAAGCCCTTGGCGATATTTAAGGAGGTGGGTTTTTTTTGTTTTTGTTTTTTTTTAGTCTGGATCTCATATTCTGTAACTTTCTTTGCTTTTCTGCTCAATGTGCGTCCCAAGATTTATTTATATATAGAAAGAGGTTCTTTTTTTGTAAGTTTCCAAGAATGGAGCAAAGTCTTGTTCCTTACACATTCTTTGAATTAGTCTGGACTACAATTCTTTTTATATCATAGTGAAAAGCCGTGCTACAAATTTAAATCCACAGACATGTCACAGTAAACGAGAGATCCTGAATTCACACAAGTTTGTGGGACGGCAGCCTCCCTGCCCCCACTCCCTGAGAGAAACCACACTAGTGAGAATTTGGTTTTTCTCTGAGTTTCTCTACAATGTAGGACAATATCAAATTCCAAAAAAAAGACTTTCCCTCCCACTAATCAACAATGGCCCATAACGGCAATGACCTTGAGAAGGACCTAGGGAAAAAAGCCCAGAGGGAACCACTAACGTTTTCAGAAAGTTAGTATAATAATCTGGAAAAAGAACTTTGGAATAAATATTTTTTTATTTTTCCAGGATCCTACTGCTTTTTCACAGAGAGTCGTGCTGAGGAGGCATGCAAACCTGGTCCCCTAACTTTGACTTTGGCAGGAAACGAAAGAACTGATAAGAAGGTTATAGCATTAAATCCTAGTGAGTGCAAATGGTTCCTATCTAGTTTAGGGAAATAGAAATTCTAGCAGGAAACCAGTCCAAGTTTTCAAATTGGAAGGATCAGAACCAAAATGTTTCCTGGGCCTGAGCCTGAGCCTGAGCTGTGCATGGAGCTGGCCAGGAGAACCAGACTCCCCTGACCCCCAGCAGCTCATGGTGTCTGAGCCACGGAAGAGCTTAGGAGAGAATGAAGGTCACATACAACCTTGTCAGAAAGGTGGATGAGGGAGAAAGACCCACTCAGAATTATTCCCAGAAGTTCTCATCACAATGTCACCTCCCTCTCTTATTTTTGAATTCTTGATCCGTCTTCTGGCACCTAGAGAACATGAGGGAAAAGCAGTATCCTAAAAAATTAGAAAGTCTCCTTTTCTTTGAGTAATGATACCTGTAGGAGCTTTTTAAGACTGTAAAACCCCAAATCACAGTCAAAATAATTTTAACCCTCTTATTACACATATATCTGTCTGGCTCTTGGAACAAAAGTGACAACAAATACACAAACACTGAATGTTACAAGCCAGGTGCAGACATGAAGGAAAACACACACTGAACTATTTTGTTTATAAGGAAAACCCAAAAGCAAATGAAAAGCCCTCCAACTCTGACAATGGTGTGTGAATAATGCTTCCTATTTAATAATGTGCTGAATTTTATTGTCAAATAAGAAAGATGACACGATCGCAAAAAGAACTGTACCCTATTAGCTTTTCCTATGCATTAAGAGTTATTGTTCTGTTACCTATAACATCTTCAGAGACCATTACAAGACAACAAGGATCAGCTAGCTTTTTCTGGAAGGGGCCAGATAGAAAATAGTTTAGATTTTGTGGGCCATGTTTGTGGGTCTTTGTTATTGCAACTACTCAACTCTGTCAACATGCTGCGAAAGCAGCCAGAGACAATATGGAAGCAGATGGGTGTGGCTGTGTTCCAATAAAACTGTATTTACAAAAACTAGAGGGAGGGTGGTAGCAGAAAGGTCTGAATTTGGACTGTGGGCTGTAGTTTCCCAACTCCTGCGATAGGACCTTAAGTGGAGATAAACCAAACACACCAAGATTCATAAATAATCTTCCAACTTGTTTTGAGACTTAGTTCCTATCTTTTCCACATATATGAGTTTATAAGAATGACGAGCAGTTAAATTGATTTATGTTTTATCCTCCAAAATGAGACCCAGATGAAACCTAGAATATAGGTGATGCGCAAACCAAACCCTTAGCTCTCCTTGCCTATAACGTTAATCGCTTTGTGTTTGGTCTCATTCCAGGACCAGGAAGATAGACCACAAGCACACAAAGTAGAAAGGGTGCATTACTGGAACCTCATGAACTCATTGCAATGTTTGAACCTTGTTTATTTTGAAGCAGCATCCAAATGAAAATAAATGTGCGTGCGTGTGTGTGTGTGTGCGTGTGTGTGTGTGGGCATGGGCATATGAGCGGGCGTTTGTCTATATTTGGTTTTCTGGGCCTTTAGGGTTAATAGCAAAAACAATAAACATCCATTTTATGTCTTCCAAGTGAGAGTCTTATCAAATGTCAAATAGCCTTTCTGGCTAATCTCCCAACCCACTATCCTTAGGTCTTCATCAAGTTCACACCAATTAAAAACGATTTGGCTTTTAAGCGGTGCTGTCTTCTGGCAGTCATCTCAATTTCTCTCGTGCACACACTGTGTGATATAATATATTCTCTCTTGCTGAAGGCAGGAGATTATATTTCAAAAGAAAAATATCTAATAGAGCGAATGGCCAAGTGAATAGAACTGGTTTTCATTTGAAACTTTCCCCCACATTCCTAGATCTCCCAATGCTGTGTTTACTATCTTGAGCTTTCTGGCCACAAGTGGGAAGAAGCAAGGTCGGTGAGAGGGCAGGCAACTGAAGTAGGAGGTCTAAATGTAAGGTTGAGGACACCTGGTCTGAATAGTACTTGCTTAGCTAGAATCCTTCAAGTGGGACCTTTAAAATGCAGTCAATAGGTGTTTTTTTTAAATCATTTTTAATGGTTTTAATTTCCAATGTTCAATAAAAAATTACTATTGAAGTTTAATTAGGGTCCTTTGAAAGTTCTTTTTGTTAGCAGCACTGTTGCAGAATGGCTAGATGCTTGAGTTCTTTCAAAGATGGGCTTGAACTTCAGGGAATACCGATAGGATTTCGGCATTTAGTCTTCCCCGCTTCGGGAAGTTCAAAATGAAACCTGGTAAATAGAGGATTTCTGCTTCTGTCTGGTCCTCAGTTTGCAAGACTAATTGTTGCTATAGCTAACAAAAAGCTTATCCTTTAATGAGAGTTATTACCATAGTACCTTTTAGGAAACAGAAAACCGCGATAATCAAGTGCACCTGTAAAATCCCAAGGTGGTTCAGTTTCTATGTGGCTATTCTGATGTCAGAGCATGCACTAAAAGAATAAAAACAATCACTTGATTAATACAGTGCTAAACAGAAACTGTTCAGTCTTGGTTAACTAATCTTGTGTTAACTAATCACTGCAGAGCTTAGCCAGAGTTAAGCTCTAGTTTTATGCACACGTGGTTGATAACTTTTTTTTTTTAAAGTAGGCTCTATGCCCAGCGTGGGGCTTGAACTCACAACTCCAAGATCAAGTCACATGCTCTACTGACTGAGCCAGCCAGCACCTCTGAGATTTTTAACTTTATCTCTTCTCCTCTTAGTTTCCTCTCCTTTCTCATATACAGTCATCTAAAAAACAAATCATCAGCATTGTACAAAATAAGAATGGCTTCATAGGGGTGTTATTGTGATGCTACTACTAGCCTCACTTCATTCTCTAGTTTCAAAATGCAAACTGAAACTTGCAGAAAATCACATGAAAAATACTTAATTTTGGTTTAGTTTTCCATCTTATTAAATTTCAGCCAGACGTCTGATGGGCTTTGTGGATTTCTTTTCCCTCTTTCTTTTGCTGTATGTTTGTGTATGAGAGTGGTGGCATTTAGGGGGAGGAGAGAGGAGGGAATGAACTGAATGGTGTAGGAAAAATTATAGACAACTTTAACACAGACCCAGGAGGTGACTGGGTGTCCTGTCAAGTGCATCCTTCCAAGCTATGGCAATCTTTCATTGCTATTTTACCACTCTACCAGTTAGAGAAAATGGATGATGAGAATGATTCTTGCCCACAGAATTGCAGATTAATTGCGCCTAGTGGAATGCAATTGATTGTTGTCCTGTGAGCAGACCCATTTTACGTCTATTTGTACATTCACTCTAGCCTCTTATTTACCTAAATACATATAATTCTTTGAAATTTCCCTTGAATTGGTTGTAACATCTTCCTGGTTCCCTCACTAATTAATGAGGTAAACAAAAGCTTGAACAGATGTTCATTTTATATATGCATGAGAATCATGGTTTTTTCCCTTTCTAAAATTTTATCATTTAACTAGTGGCCACAGATGGATCTGGAAAATAGGATACTGGAAAAATAAAATACTGTATAAGTAATTCTAGCCCAAATTAATCAGAGTCTTTTATATAAGTATATCATTTAGGGACAAAAAAAGTCCCCAAACTTTGTTGGTAATGATGCTGTTATTCCATAATGCCTCATCTATTTTTAATGAAATCTTCTTTATTCTTTTTCTTTAGTTTTGAAAAGTTGGTTCTTCTCCTGGTTCTGAGCAACTCTTGCAAAATTAATGGAGTGAAACCTTTAGGAGAAGGTGTAGTTTCCTGAACCAAAGCTAGGCATTTTGGCATCCGAAGAGCCATTTAGAAACACAAGCAAAAGAAATTGCTTTTGGGTGGGACAGAAACTTGGAAAATGAAACATTTTCTTTCATCTGTCTCAATTTTACATGAGATCAAAAGACCTCATGTAAACTTTTTAGTTATTTAGTGTCTCTCAAGAAATTAAAATATTTT